TACTGTCCCCTGAAAGCTGGGCGGGGCTGACTGCCTGCAGAGAAAGGAGAAAAAATGCTCTTAGTGTCAGTTTAAAAAAACTGAGCTAGCATCCAGAGATTCTGAAAAGTATTAAATTCTTCTCTGCCTCCCTATGATGCACCACTGGGCACTGCCCATAACAACATTGGACACTTTCTTGGCAGAATAGACAGTTACCTATTTTCCATCCCAGCTTGAGAAAGAGCACCTGTAAACTCTGATCTAGGGTTTTGTTCCCCACAGCTCTAAAGAAACTACCTCCAAGGTGTCAGGGGCACAACAGCCTCCCCGACATGGAATTAGACCCAGCACGGGCAAAAGTACTCTTTTCCCGGTGGAGGTGGCTGGGAGAATTTACAGGCCACAATGACCATAACAAGGAAAATAATAAAGACAACTAGAGTTAAGACTATCTGCCACATGGCAAAGGAAGAAAGAGTGAGGCCTCAGTGATAGAAGAAGAAGATGAGGAAGAAAGAGAAAAGAGTAATTTCTGCTGGGGTGTAATCAATAAAAGTTCCCTGCATCCAGTGGTCTGTCAACCACTGTAAGATATCTCCCACCTCAAGGGAACATGGCCTGAACCAGTGTATGTCTGCTAGCAGGAGTCTAATAAAACTGACAAATTTACAGACTAGACAGGACCACATATAGGAGTGACAGACAAAGGGTGGGTGCCCCCCAGATGGGAGACCACTCAGACGCCTGCCCGGCCACTTTCCCGGAGGAATTTTCAGGAGCGTCTTGGCTAAGGTGTACCCGTATAATCCCCGGGCCTGGTCACCTCAGGATGGAAGTCCAAGTAGGACAGCTCTGAGGTGAATCACCGTTATGCCCTACGACGCTCCAGTGGAACCGCGGGTGAAGGCCCACACAAGCCCCGTAGCCTTTCAGCCATGGGACTACATATATACACACTCACTCTCTCACTCACACAGAGGTTACGGAAAACAACTGAACGCTGCCACCCACTATGCCAGCTACCAGGGGCGAACGCTGGTACCCTCTGCACCAGCTACTGGAAACGAACGCTGGTACCCTCTGCACCAGCTACCAGAAGGCTGTCACCCACTATGACAGCCACCAGAAGCGAACGCTGGTACCCCCTGCACCAGCTACCAGAAGCCTCAAGCGACGTCTCGGTGAGGCTTGCCAGGTCGGAGTTGCAATGACTCGTCAGTCCCCCGACACAGGCCCAGACCAGACTTACCTCCGGAGGCTTTTTCTTTTAGGACCCTGAGGAATTTCGGGTGAATGTCGGCCAAGAGGTCGCTTATCCTCCACGGTGGCTCTCCGGGGCCCTGGGAAAGAACAGGGGGCGCCTCCCCAGAGGCCCCCAAGGTGGGAGCGGCCGCCCGGTCGAGATTCTGAGATGGCTTTTGTCTGGTGATAACAAAAAGAGAATATCTCGCTGGGGCCTCCAAATGTTGTATTTGACCAGAGCGTAGAAAGTTACCACAAGACAAAAGTATGCCAGATTGCAGGGTCATTTATTTATGCCGGCGACCACAGAGGACTCACGTCTCTCCAACCTGTGGTGCCAAAAGGAGGGTGCCATGATTTTTTATACCCGAAAAACCACCTTGGGAGTAGGGGTGAGGGGCGGGGATGGGGATGATAAGGTTTCGGACATTTCAAGGGCTAGGGGATTCTGTGATTCACCTCCTGGGTGGAGACAAGGGCGGGGGTCTCCGGACATTCCAAGGACTAGGGGATTCTGTGATTCACCTCCTGGGTGGAGACAAGGGCGGGGGTCTCCGGACATTCCAAGGGCTAGGGGACTTTTGTCATTCTGTTTGTTACCTCCGTGGTTTACAGAAGTCAGGATATACATTTGTTTACACATCGTCTGGGTGGTGATAGAAGTCACAGATTTTAGCAGTTACTGATAAGAAAAGGTAAGCAGCTTTACATAGTTTTGAGGAACAAACTGGCAGTTCTATTCACAGAGGCCAAGGACAGTAGTTATTGTAAGGAGAATGGGGCAGCCATTTCAACTTATCTAAAAACAGTTTTGCATTTTATAAAATAGTTTTGCTCCGGTTCTGGCTCTAGGCGAGCACAATATCACAATTGTATTATAAAGACACATATACACGTATGTTCATTGTGGCACTGTTTACAATAGAAAAGACCTGTAACCAACCCAAATGCCCATCGACGATAGACTGGACAGGGAAAATGTGGCACATATACACCATAGAATACTATGCAGCCATTAAAAACGATGAGTTTGTGTCCTTTGTAGGGACATGGATGAATCTAGAAACCATCATTCTCAGCAAACTGTCACAAGAACAGAAAAACAAACACTGCATGTTCTCATTCATAGGTGGGTGTTGAACAGTGAGAACTCATGGACACAGGGAGGGGAGCATCACACACTGGGGTCTATTGGTGGGGAATAAGGGAGGGGCAGAGGGGGGAAGGGCAGTTGGGGAGGGATAACGGGGAGTAATGCCAGATATAGGTGATGGGGAGATGGAGGCAGCAAACCACATTGCCATTTACGTACCTATGCAACAATCCTACATGTTTTGCACGTGTACCCCAGAACCTAAAGTGCAAAAAAATTTAAAAAAAAATGCCAAGATAAATAAAACTGAGTCTTACTCTACTTGGAAGTTACAAGCAATTCAAAGGCTTGTGGGTATCAAAGAGAAGGAAAAGAGGTAAAGAACAAGTCAGAATTACAGTGTTTTCCATGTTGCAGCATCCAGAAAGGGTGGCTTTATGGAGCAGCTGGAATTTGACATAAATCCTGAAGGAGCCATAGTGTCTCAGCAGGTAGAGAGATGAGTGAGTAGGACAGAGAAATTATTATTATAGAGTTATTACCCAGATGGTAATAACTGTTAATAAGCTTAATAATATTTTAGCTACCCCGGTATTGAAAATGAGTGTCTTTTCAGTCCTCTCCTATCCCCAGGTTTGCAAGCAGTCAGTTGCTGTTCATCAGGGTAGAACCTATTCTCAATTATGCAGCATCCACTAATATCCAGCAGGTTAGAAATACCATTTTAGTTGAATACATTGTCTTCAATTTTTAGGTATAAAATCAGGAAGAAGCTGAAAGCTTAATGGTTAAGAGTTTGGATGCTGGAACCAAACAGTCTAATTTCTAATCCCGACTTTCTCTCTTATTAGCTGTGTGGCCTTCAGCAAGTAATTAAACCCACTCTGTGCTCATTTCCTCATCAGGAAAAAATAAAAATAAAGATGTTGATAATAGTGCCTACCTTGTTATGCGGAATAGTTTCATTAAATGACTTCCTATTCGTAAAGTGCTTAGAAGAACTCAGGGGATAGAGGAAGCACTACATAAAAGTTGTAAATAAAATGGCCCTCATATACTTGCCCTGGTCTCCCTAAAACAGGTGCTGAGTTGAATGGGGGCTGCTCTGGATGATTCCCCTGCTTCTGCAGCTTCTGTAGTTGATAATCCCTTGCTTTTTGGGTGACACCTGGCAATAAGACATGAGACCTAAATGCTCTGATTTTCTGCTTCAAATGCACATTTTAGTAGTCTTGATTTTAACAAAGAGCCCAGTTCAACCTTGTTGCATAAGGACAATAAACCAGATTCAGTGGGTGGTAGTTTTTACCAGCTTCCTATTCTAATTTTCAGGTTTGAAAGATATAAAAGGCTTCCATATCCAAGCAAATGTAGTGGAACACATTGACGTCTCTAGGCAAAGCAGTGTGCTCTAATTCTGTAGAATTTGAGAGAGGGCTTTCGAGTCACTGCTAGGTTTGTGTCCCGGTTTTTCGACTTACCAAGTGTGTGGCTTTGGACAGGCTAATCCCTAGGCTTCTTTTTCTAATACTGGTCTTACAAAGTTGTTTCCTTATTTGGTGTCTTTCTGAGAATTGGTGGTCCTTCTGAGCATCCTCCACAGATAGTTAAGGATTTGGCTCCCAGTTCTACTGACTAACCTGATATTCCTTCCCTTCAGCTGTCAGCCCTAAAACAGGGTGGTTGTCCTCACTTGAGTTTTGTGTCTTTGGGAGTTTATGCTTTACTGAACAAAATCCCTCTTTGCTCTTTTAGTGGTACATTCATAAAGGCACAGAGGTAAATTGATGTGTTTAATTTACCTTGTTTAACCAAGAGTAATCTTTTAAGTTTTTAAAGAAACAGTCTTAGTATATTTCTTTTATCAAAAGAAATCTTTTGAAATTTTCCTGTAAGAATGAATTTAATGCTTCCTTTCCTTGTTTTCGTTAATCTGAGAATTCATCCCTTGATTATTGTTACTAAATATTTTGTATTAAATTATCCCTTAAGAACAAGAGCATTTAAATTGGCAGTGAAATTTAGGGCAATGATTTATGTTGCTAACGATAGTCTTATGCTAGAATTACACTTCTGAAATCTTATTTTTTGTTTGTATATTGGTGGGCTAGAGTTGGCTTAAGTAATTTTTTCATAAAGGTTAATGAATAATATATTATCGGAGCCTCTGAATATATGAGAATACGGTTCATATATTCCTCTGCAAATGAGAGGCAGCTTGCCTGGCAATAGCTATCTTTGATTGAGTCTTCCCTTTCTTTTGACATTTAATAATACAGCAGAGAACTCTAAGACCAACTGGGTATTTGTTCCTTTGATGGTGATTTGTTTTCATTTGATTTATGTGTGTTGACTTGTTTTTGTGCTTCAACACTGAAGTACTTTTTTTTTTTAACTTTAAACCTAGGATTCGACATTTCAGTCAGAATATCGCTTTGATTTGATATTGTTTGGAATACAATTTAGTTGTCATTTTTTTTTTTTCAGTTCACATTTTTTTAGTCTTTTTGTCTTTGATTATTCTATTTCAGTTCTTGCATTTCCTGAGAAACAACTATAATTAGATATGTTTTCTGCTCTTCCAGATCTAGGATCTTTTTTCATCGTTGGTACTTTTCTCTGGCCTTATAGGGGTGTTTACCCTCTATGTAAATGACTTAATTTTATACAGTATGTGTCTATGTTCCCCCTCCAGTGGGTAATAATGCTGCACTTCATTTTGCAGACTCTGTGCAATGCTACTTTATTTCACCTATAATCTCTTTATCTTACCCAGCAGTCTTTTATTGACTTTGTTTTGTTTCTAGGGGTCATATCTTCTTGTATTATATTGACAATGCCTAAAACTTTCCTAAGAATTACTTATGATTCCTCTGTGAAGTCATTTTCAGAAAACTGTTCTTCCTTTGAATCTTTGACTTGCCCTTTTCTTTTCACATTTATTACTACTTAGTAGACCCATGCTGACATTGCGCTGTTATTTTCATTCCAGAATTAAGAGTTACTCATCTAGACCTGCTCACAGAGGGGATATGTAGATTGCACTCAGCCCCGCTCTCTGTTCTCCTGTTGGTTAGTAAAAGTCCACCTTTAGATCACTGACCTTGTAGCAGGTTGATGTCTATAGACTTGGACCCATTTTCAGTGGACCCATTTTCAGTGAAAGAGTTTCATATAAAGCAGCTATCTCCAGTGCCTTGTTCTTTGTTAATTTATATATGGATTATGTAAGAACTCCAGCCTCTAAAATGCAATACCTTCATAGGTCATGTTGTCCCTAAATTTGCCTTTCTGTCACTGAAACTGCCAGGTTGCACAATGCATCTCCTTCTTCCTGGCTGGCATTTGAAAGTAGCCATCACTAACTTATGGGGTGGGGGATTCTCTTGCTGCCTCCAAAAACGTAATCATTTGTGACAAAGGACTAAGTTTCTTAATGATACAGATTTTTGCATTTCTATACAAGATGGCAGAAAGTGGATACAGGGTGATATGCAGATGAAGATTTCCCTATCCCTTTCAAGGGTTGTGACTTTTCACTGCAAATCAGGTTTTTTACATCTAATTTTATTCTTTTTCTGTTATAAGAATTCGTGCCTGATTCTAGCAGTAGGTTGAAGGTCATATCTTTCTTTTCATGGTGACATGAACTTTATTATTTATCTGTTTTACAGGTATCTTAGTAAAAGTTTGGCAGGGAATATCAGGGACTGGTAGCTAGCATTTAAAACTATAACATATGAAACTCCACAACTTAAGTACTTTTTCAAGTCGCAAGATGCTTGAAAATTTTGCTTTCTTCAGATATTTTGTGGAAATAAACTCTGCCTTGTAAATATTCATCACAAGTTGCTATTCAAACGATGCAGGCATCAGTGTTCCTGTAATAGAATCTATGTGTTATGAAAACTGGGTCATTTTTGTGATGAAATAAAATGTAGATACATAAGTGATGGTAGGAATTCCAATGACTTCTTAAAACTTTTATTATACATAAAAACTGCCTGATCACTGCCTACTAACAAGAGTCTTAGACCTGAAACAGCTGTTATAAATAATTTAATCTCAGAGTTGGAAATTCAGTTGCCTCCAGGGGCCAGACAAATAAGGCAAATGCATGAAGTAGGCTAGTTCCATACAAGAAGGATTGAGAGGGACTAGAAAAAAGTAGAGATAATACTTGTGCTACCAAATCCTTCAGGCATCATTAGAGCACAAACCCACTCTCCCATTATAGAGATGGAACTGAGGTCAAAGGATATTAACAGATTTGCCTAAACTTAGTTCAGTCTGTCTTGACCAGAGCTGGGTACATAATTTGCAGAATCCAGTGCAAAATAAAATGCTGAGTTTCTTGTCCAACAACTATTAAGAATTTCAAGATGGCAACAGCAAAGCATTAAATCAAGTATGAAGTCTTATGTGACTGCCTAAGTTACACGCCCATGAATACATCCTTGGTTTTAATTTCTGATCTAGAATTTGTATAACCAACAGAAACTTGTCATCACTCTCACCCATAACCACTGAGAGGCTGGTAATAGAGATGGAGTTAAAATTAAGTTTTTTACTTTGATACTACAATAAGTTAATTGTCTACTTACAAGGATTTTTTTTATGACATCAGGAATAATGCCATTTAGTGACATTCAGCCAAGGCACAGCTATTCATAGAAAGTACAAGAAATAAAATTATTTAGTACTAGAGTAAGAGTTTTTTGTAATAAGTGTGTATGCACATGCACACACACACACACACATCTTATATTTTAAAAGACTTAAAACATTTCCATCATTTAAAATCAAAAGAAAACTTAAAAATTTTTCTTCATTAAAAGTGAAAGTCACAGCTAAACCATAAGTTTGGCATGGTTTAAGATTGTCATTTATAGTTGTCATTTGATTTTTTTAGAGTCTATATGCCTTCCTTTAGCAACATTTTTTAAAACAAATATGAACTTCAGTTAACTCAAGTTGTTAGTTTTCTATTATTTCTCTGATTCAGATATTACACCTTCATATTATTGAGCCATGTCCCTTCATGAGTGATAAACAAGAAGTTCACATGTTAGAGAATGAGAAAATGAGTGATTGGGCCAATATTGCAATTAACAATAAAAATCAAGTTATGAATATAATACTCAAAATATTTAAGCCATGTTTACCAGTGTATGGGTTCAGCTAGCACTGAAATTACTCGTTAAGTTTAATCCCTAGTTGTGGGAGGGGGCAAATTTAGTTTAAGGAACTCTCTTCCCTCCCTTACGTATTTGAGTATATGCTATGAATATAGAGACTGAATGTCACAGAATTTTTTTTAATCCTCTACAGGTGGAGATTTTCATTTTACCTTTATGTATTTACCTATGGAGTCAGATTCCTGAAAAAGGTAGGATCTCTCAAAATATTTTATGTAATTGTTATGTAAGTCTATATCCCATCTTTTTTTTTTTAAGTAGATGACTAACAATATTTTAGATAATCATAACAGGCTTCATAAGAATTATTTGTGCATTTTCATCTGACTTACAAAAATATTTTGGATGTTGCTAAGTCCCATATTTACTCCAGTGGATAATTTATTACTTTTTTGGTACAGGAAGCTTATAAAATCTGCCTGATGCTTTGAAAAAAGTTAGAGTTTCCACATCACACAATTTGAGAACATGAATTTTTGCAGTGTGTATTATCACTATACTCTTCACCAGTAGAAATAACTATATATATATTTCTTATAGTTTCTTTCATGGACTTTTTTTCTCCTGCTATTGCGTTTACTATAATCCCGCTTGAACTGAGGCACCTGAATCTATGAAAGTAATTCTTTGTGGCTGCTATAGTCTTTTTCCAGGTCATTTCAGGTTTTACTGGAACTACTATCAGATTAGTCTCCTTAAATCTAATGAAGACCCATCTTCTCATAGTCATACACATATTAACAATAGTGATTTGGCATAACATGAGGAATAATTATTATTTGTTTGAGATAGAGTCTTGCTCTGTTGCCCAGGCTGGAGTACAATGGTGCTGTCTCGGCTCACTGCAACCTCTGCCTCCCGGGTTCAAGTGATTCCCCTGCCTTAGCCACCCGAGTAGCTAGGACTACTGGCACATACCACCACACACAGCTAGTTTTTTTGTATTTTAGTAAAGAGGAGGTTTCACCATGTTGGGCAGGATGGTCTTGATCTCCTGACCTTGTGATCCACCCACCTCAGCCTCCCAAAGTGCTGGGATTACAGGCATGAGCCACTGCACCTGGCCAGGGAATTATTTTTTTAAATTCTCTGTAGTATTAGCCTCCAAAGTAATATCAGTGTTACCTTTATTTATTACAGATTTTTTTTTCCTAAAATTAATAATGCACCAAATATTATGCTTTATTAATCTTAAATATTGACATGGAAATTTTAAATACATTTAAAATTTTTAAATCTGGTTTACCAGATATTGTCTGCCTGTGGTGAATTCTATTATAAATAGTGGTTGTTTCCCATTATCATATTTTTCTAGAGGATTTTTTTTACTTATAGTCTTTTCCTTTGGTAACTGCACTTATTTTCACTTAATAAGACCGTATGGCCAGAGGCCATTCGAATCAATTTAAAAAGATGAGTTTTACTCTGTGGGGTTTCTGTGTATGAAGAAATTCTCAACTGGAGTAAATAAACATAGTTTAAACTGCTTATTTTGGAATTCTACAGTTCTAGTTTTCAAATTTACTTACCTAGAAAAAAACAGAATGGCCATAGAGCTTTTGTGCTTGTAACTTGACTACCTTGGAAGAGGAGATAGCTTTGGATGGAATTTTAGCTGATGTGTCAGAGGTGTGCTTCATAGGAAGGTCAAGTTCTTAACTAAGGTCAAGGTTTGGATTCATGCCTGGTTCTGTTGGTGAGGGGCTTTGATGGTGAGAAAGGAAAGATAATATGAGCACTTTTTTGCCCTTTTCCTCTTGGCCTGCTGGATACAGTGTCTTTAGCTCTCATACAGCAGTGTGGTTATCTGTCATCAGAACAAGAAACACTTTGACACTTTACTCTGGTTCACTCTGTCCCTAAACAAACTGAATGGAATGAGAATAATTTGTATCAACCAGTCCTCAGTGGGTCCGCATAAAGCAGGAAGAGGAACTGTCAGTAGAATGTTTCCATGGAAATTATTTTTTCTTAAACCAGACCAGTTCTGTGCCAATTTCCTTTCAACTGCTTCTGGTTAAAAAAATTTAAAAAAAAAAAAAAAAAGGAAAGAAGAACTAGACATTGTTCTTCTTGTTGAATTAATTTGTGTGGGGGTTTCTTTCTTTAATTCCCTCCAAGTAGCCTGCAATTTTCGATGAGCTGTGTATAAGTCTTAATCATAATGTGAAGTAGAAATGTGTACATAGAATTCATCTGACTGAAATAGCTTTGGAGGACTTCATAAGCTATCTTGTCCAACCCTCTCATTTCACAGCGGAGGAGGCAGAAATCCAGAATAGGGTAGGTGGCATTCGAAAGGTCACACAGTTTATTCAAGGCTGAACCTGACATGAAACACATGCTCCTCTTTCTTATTCCAGAGCTCTCTCTGGCTGGCCAGCCTGCCCTAACTGCCCTAACCTCAGCATGATTTCCAAGTGACTTTCTTCTCTGGTTAGCAGACTTGACCTAGCCAAATCATTATTGTTTATTTATAGAACTTTAAATGCTTCTTTTAATGTATATTTTTAAAATATTTGTATTAACTTTCTTGGACTGGACAACCTACTTGCCCATCTAAACTGAGAGAAAAATATTAGGGATGCAGCGTCAGAAATAATCAAAATAAGGTAATTCAAATTTGTATAATACCTTAAATTTTAGAAAATAAGAAACATATAGTTCTATCAATACAGCATAAATTTGTCTTTGTGTTCAGATTCTTCCAGAAGTACAGTAGGAAAATTCTCATAATAACAGTGTAGTGGATCCATTTTAAGATATGAGAGGCTGCTGCTGCCTTTACTTCTAGAATAAAAAATGTAGATGATTACATGTGCTGTTAGAAAAGTGCGCTGACCAGTTTTCTTCTGGCTGTAGGTCAAATGAGCCTGTTGTGTCTCATTTTCTAGGGTGGTTTAATAAGTATCCATCCTACCCTAAAAAAATAGGGAAGTAGACACTAGAAAACATTGACCTTACAGACATGTTAGTAAACTATTCAGTAAAGCTACTGCTGTGTTCACAGGAAATATATAAAACACTGAAAGTAAGCCTGACTTAATAGTTTGTTCCTGTAATTGCTTTAAACGAGAGGGTCTGCTCATAATTATAACTGGCAGAGTCAAATGCTTTTGTTAAAGAAGACCTACAAATACTTAAGGTGCTCTGAAGTTTTAGCAGACAGTGTATACGTACAAATTAACACATTTTCCTAGATTCTATTTTTCCTAATAATCTACATGTTAGGCTAACTTACTTCCAGCTGTCTGACCATGTGGTTTTGTTTTTTTTTTTTTGAGACAGAGTCTCTCTCTGTCACCCAGGCTGGAGTGCAGTGGCACGATCTTGGCTCACTGTAACCTCCCCCTCCTGGGTTCAAGCACTTCTTGTGCCTCAGCCTCCCAAGTAGCGAGGATTACAGCCGTGTGCCACCATGCTCAGCTAATTTTTGTATTTTAGACAGGTTTTACCACATTGGCCAGGCTGGTCTCGAACTCCTGATCTCAGGTAATCTGCCCGCCTTGGCCTTTCAAAATGCTGAGATTATAAGATATGAGCCACCACGCCCATCCCATATGGTACATTTTGCATCCTAATTTATTTTGCTCACTTGCATTTCTGTAAAAGAAACGTTACTGAAGATATACCTATGTCTAATTTCAATATCAGTCAGGGGTTCACAGGAGATAGAAACCACAGTAGTTAATTTTAGGAGTGACTGTAATATAAAGAATCATTAACCAGAGGGAACCACGAAGCCTGTGTTTCTCAGAGTAAATTGATCTGCTGTTTACTGCCAGTCTGCAATGAGATAAGAAGCTTGCACCTGAATGTAAAGCAGCTACTGATTTTTGAGAAAGTCTACCTATGAAGAAAAATTAGCTGAACGCAATGTGCTTAGTCATCTAGTTAATTTACCTCTGGTGTTAGATCATTATGTTGTTGTGGACCTTTAACAGACCTTTCAAGGATTGCTCCTCACCCATTAGCGCTGCACTGAGGCATAGTGGAGGTAGTAATAGCAGGAAGTTACTGCCACTGAGGACCACGGGATTACAGAACCTGGAGGCTCAAAGGAAGAGCCACGGAGCCAGAGAAGACTTCTGACAAAGGTGACACTGACCAGCTGCTGCCACTGAAATGAACTGCTGCTGCTGGAGTGAAGATGCCTGCTGGGTGGATGTGGGGGCAAGGGATGAAAGTGATGACAAGAACTAGAAGCAAAACAGAAGGGAGCATGTACCATCTTCCTCTTGCAGCCTTCCAGCCTTCCTCAAGTGCTTCTAAGAAGCTGAACTTGGTGAGGCACCAGCTCCTTAAAGCCAATAGAAGTGTCACTTGCATAGTCTCTGCTATGAGACCGACAATAGTATCTCAGTAACTACCCCAATTGTCTCATATTGCTGCATTCTGAAATACACTCTGATAAATTTTATTATAACTTATTTTATTACATTTTTAAAACATGAAGGTTGCCCCTTGTTACACTGACTTGATGACTACTGCTGGGTGAAAATTTATGGTTAAAGTACCCCCTCAGACTGAGTCCTTTGCCCATTCCCTTAGACTTTCTGAATCCAACCTGAACAAAGGTGCAGCCTTTCATTGTTCATACGGTGTTCTCAAAGTTCAACACACAAAGTCACGAAGTGTTCCCTTTTGAGAATGTTCTGTTTTGCTTATTGCTTAGTTTGGAATCTTTCTGAAATGGAAACAAAATTGTAAATTTTTTTGCCTATTTTAAGACTGAAAATAGAATTTGTCTAGCAATTAGAATATGAGTCCATGTAAGATTTTGTTCTTTGTGTCATTTAAAAAAATCTTAAAATTGCTTGGACTATGTTGCTGTTTAAGGAGGCTTTAAATTTGGTTTTTATGAGAATGACCCCCATAAAATACTTCTATAAGAAGTGCACATGATATATAATACGAACATTGGGAAGGGACCCTAAAGATCGCCTATCCCAAATTTCCTATTTCAGAAAACAAGAAAACAATATCAGAAAGATGAATTGACTCGTCCCAAGCAAAACGGGAGCCTATTTTGCTGTCTTTAGACTGTCTAGGTTAAAAACAATAACAACAACAATTAAGTTTTAAAAAGCTAGCAGTTTAAGTAACTTTTTATTGGTAAATTCATCTTACTCATGAAAACTAAAAGTCACATCAGTATAGGATGATAAGTCTGAAGTCAAGATTGAGATTT